CTGCCACCCCTGTCCCTGCCACCCCAGCTCCTGCAGCTCCAGCTGCTCCTCCAGCAGCCAAAACACCCCCAAAGAGCCCTGCAAAAGGCACTCCAACCCCTGCAGCTCCATCTGCCCCTACTGAGGACAAGGCACCCCCAAAAAGCCCTGCCAAAGCCCCCCCAGCTCCGGCTTCCCCCGGAGGAGCCAAAAAGGCTCCCAAGGGCAGCGCCAACTCTGCCCCATCTGCTCCAGCGGCTCCTGCTGAGGCCAAAACACCCCCAAAAAGCCCTGACAAAGCCACCCCAGCTCCTGCTGAGGCCAAAGGACCCTCAAAAAGCCCTGACAAAGCCACCCCAGCTCCTGCTGAGGCCAAAACACCCTCAAAAAGCCCTGATGAAGCCAAAACACCCTCAAAAAGCCCTGCTGAGGGCAAGGCACCCCCTAAGACCCCTGCCAAAGCCACCCCAGCTCCAGCAGCCTCTGCTGAGGCCAAAACACCCCCAAAAAGCCCTGCTGAGGCCAAAACACCCCCAAAGAGCCCTGCAAAAGCCACTGCAACCCCTGCAGCTCCGTCTGCCCCTCCTGAATCAAAAACACCCCCAAAGAGCCCTGCAAAAGCTCCCCCAGCTCCAGCAGCTCCTGCTGAGGCCAAAGGACCCTCAAAAAGTGTCACTGATGGCAAAGCACCCCCAAAGAGCCCTGTTAAGGCCACCCCAAGTCCTGCAGCTCCAGCAGCCTCTGCTGAGGCCAAAACACCTTCAGCTCCTGCCCAAGCACCTCCAAAGAGCCCCGTTTTGGCCAGTGCAGCTCCAGCAGCCAAAACACCCCCAAAGAGCCCTGCAAAAAGCACCCCAGCTCCTGCTGAGGCCAAAACACCCCCAAAGAGCCCTGCAAAAGGCACCCCAGCTCCTGCTGAAGCCAAAACACCCCCAAAGAGCCCTGCAAAAGCCACCCCAGCTCCTGCTGAAGCTAAAGCACCCTCAAAAAGCCCTCCTGAAGCCAAGGCCCCCCCAAAAAGCCCTGCTGAAGCCAAGGCACCCCCAAAAAGCCCTGCTGAAGCCAAGGCACCCCCAAAAAGCCCTGCCAAAGCCACCCCAAATGCTGCAGCTCCAGCCACACCCACGGGTGTTTCCAGTGCCCCCCAAAAACCCCCAACCCCCCCAAAAACAGACACCATCGCTCCCCCTGCTAAGAAACAGCAACCCCTCCCCAATAATAAAGCAGCCAAGCCGGCTGCTCGCCCTCCCCAGCCCAAAATCCYTTCAAAAGCCCCGCTCGGCGCCGACGACGAGGATCTGCCGCCTCTGCTCCCCCCCGAGCCGCCCGTGCTGCTGGAGCTGTGTCCCCCCAGCCCCGCGGGGATCCCGCAGCAGC